TTTTGTTTCGTTAAGGTTGTTAGCCGAGCTGAGTTAGCGGCAGTCAACTGACAGCTGTCAAAAGTTGCCGATTCATTGCCGCAAAGGAGGCGCCGCTAAGAAAACAATTGTGTCCTTAAGCAACCATCTACCTCTCAAAGCCAAACTGCAATTACACATTTGCAACCTATTCTTAGCCGATGATGATGGCTGAGAGTGAAAAAAGAAAACAAAGTCAGCATGCTCTAGTCGAGAGTGCTCGACTGGGAGATACCCTTAACAAATGTATTTACCTGTCGCACTGTGCAGGTGTGTGATTGATTTATCTAGATATATATCTAGATCTATTCACAGCAATTGCGAAAAGATATCTTTATCAAATTATCAGCTATCAATTTTTATGAGCATCGACAGAGGATTAATATTATTTCAAGTTATATTCAGAGCAAGTAAGAAAGCTATATCTTTATTAATAAATTTATGAAATGAATAAGCAAAGAAATAACATTTAAAACAGAAATTTATTTAAAATGCAGACTTTTATTTCCATTTAATATCTTTAAAATTAAAATGATCGATTTGTGTGATCTTCGATAGATGATTGATATATATGTATATATATTTAAATATATTCATAGCTAATAATAAATAAAGGTTTATTAATAGCAAATATGAAAGCTATATCTTTCAAATTGTGACTTCTGTTGTTATCTGTAATCGATACTTATCGATAAAAGCGAAGCAGATGCAGTTCTCCGTAAAATTAAATAAAGTTGATCTATCTTATAAATAAGAACTTGGAATCGACAATTTATAGCTTTTATAGACTCTGGTCAAGACAGACAGACAAAAATCGACTCGACTCTTGACCGTGATCAGGTAGAAATATACGAAATAGGCTTAAAGTTGCTTGCTATAGCCTGTTACATACTATTGACCAACTTGATGAGACCCTTTTCTGGCCATTTGGCAATGGGTGCAACAAGGGACACAAAAAAAAAGGGAAAAGAAAAGTCATTGGGCTGTCAGGAGAACGATTGGCGGCGATTTGAAATCTTTCTCTCTCTCTCTCTCGTTTACCGACGGCAACATGGCCAACTTGCCACATTTTTTGGCTAACGGGCGCCTGCCCAGATTCACTTGTGGCCACTTTGAATTTTTCATAAGTCTTTGAGTCGCTTTATGAGTTGGTTTTTAAGCGAGTGGGGAGAGGGAGAGGCGGGAGGGACGGGGGTGGATGCGGTGCTAATGGCTAAAACGACGAAGACGACAAAGAAGTCGTCAGCCCATTTTGTACCCCTTTTTGTGCGGGCAATAAAAACATTTTCCTTTTCGCTTTTCGCATTTTTTCTTTTCTTTTTGTCTTTTTGGTATTTTTTTTGTTTGGTTTTTTTTTTTTTTTTTGGCACAAATAAAATAATGAATAATATGAAGAAAAATACTTGGATTTTTCTTTTGTAGTTGTTGTTGCTGCTGCTAAAACAGAAAACGCATTAAGTGCGCGGTTTTTCCATTGTTTATAACATTGCTTTTTTTGCGCTGCCCAGTGCGAAAGGGGATAATTAAGAATGCTTATTTATCTAGAACGGCGACGAATGTACCCCATTCTCCAGTCCCCCCTCCTTCTCTCCATAGCCCTGTTCCCTAGTTTGCAGTCAGTCCTTGACCACAGCGGGGGGCTGCTGAGGGCGCAACGGCTAAAAAAGCGCCGAAAAAGAAACTTTTTATTTTTAATGATAAATTGTTCGAGGTCGTGCCAGAACGAGATGGCGAGAGCGGGAAGAAAGGGGGCAAGGGAGAAGAAGAGAGAGAGAGACATAAGTAGGCGCCAGTCAGAGGTCATATCAGGAACGGAACTCTACACTGAGCAAAAATAGTTTATGTCTAAGAATTGGCTTGGCTTATTTTTGAGAAATGAGAAATAGTTTTCAAAGTAAAAATCGGCTTAAAGAAGAGTTCTAGTATCACAAAACCGAATCAAACTCACAAATATGTGATTATTATTTAATTTTTTATTTATTGGAAACTAAGAATTATAAAGATTGTACTGCTATATCCTATATAGCTCCCATATGAATCTAGATCGAGTGATGAAGAAAACTTATTTGTTCACCTTGTTTTTGTTCCAAAATTAAAAAATAATTACAATACAAAAATCATTGTAATTGGTAAACTATATCTTATAGTTCTTCATATGAAAACTTTTAAGTTTTTTTTATAATTAAAAACAAATTTAAATTGTTAAGGTTATTAACTATTCCCACTTATTCTTTATTTTTAATTTTAACAAAGTTTTAAGATTTAGGATTTAATGATATTATCTTTCAAGCTCATACTTATGTTTATGTTATAGACTTTAAGCTACTGTCATTATTGGTTCCTTAATGTTTTATAACCTTTAATTAGGTTGATTAATGTTTAAAATATAAATGATATATAAAGAAAAAGACAGGATTTAGTTCCACTAAACAGTTTATATTTGTATTTATCTGAGATTTGGTTTTTATTGCATAAAAAATGTATGATTTAATCAAGGGATCATTGCATAAAAAGAAAATTGAGCAAGCAGAAAAGAAATCTTAGAAATAAGTATATAATTCCATTATATAAAAAATGAGTTTCGCTAGCTAATAAATTCAGAATCAGAGGTATTTTTATATTTTTTTCCAAGTGTACTCTTTGGTCTAAAAAGTGGCCAAAAATTATGACTCCATATCAGAGCGATTTAGAGTTTATATTAATAATTTTTTTCAGTCGTTTACTCTTTAGTCTGTGTTTCTTTTTCTGGCTTATTGCAAAATCGATAGTGTATGTGGTAAGAAAGCGCGTCTTCTAAACTGAATTCTCGGCTAATTAGCCGCGAAACTTGGTGAGTTGCAAATTACAAGCGCGACGCGGATTGAGGCAAGTGGAAATCGAACACGGAGTTAGGAGTTGCCAGTTGCCAGTTGCCAGTTGCGAGTTGTGAGTTAAAGAGTCGTTGCCTCTGGGGCAGCGCACACGCAAATCACTTGTTTTTTATGTAATTAGTTGGCTCACTTCAGGGCTAAGACCAACAGCGAACTTTGAAGCATAATTAACCAAAATAAAGAAAAAAAATATATATATACCGATCGCGTCTTACAACACAACAACAACAACAATTGTGTGCCGCCCCTTGGACCAGCCTCCAGCTTTCCCCTTCCCCTTCGCCTTCTTCTTCGGCTGCCTCCCTCCCTTCCTTGAAATTCGCTTGGAAATCTTCTCGTTCAATGACCGATAAAATTACCGCTGACTCTCAAATTCTCAAATTCTTCTAGCCGCTGTTAACTTGGCTGCTGCCTTTTAGCAGGTTATTGATTATTAATTTTTTTTTCATTTCTTGGCAACTTGTGTGTGTTCCCAAACAGTGTTTTATTTTTTTCCATGTCTTTTTTTGGTTTTGGTTTTTTGGTTTTTTGTTTTAGCAGTCGCTGTAATTACAGCAACGCGTTAATTGTTCGCCTCAGCATTTTGTGTCTGACGAAAAAAAAAAAAAACAAAAAAAAAACTATGCGCAAGTATTTCTTAGTTTTGGGTTTTCTCTATTTGTTTTTTTGTTTTTTTTTTTGGCCATGGTTGGGTAGAAAAAACGCACTAAAAACAACATTAGTTTGGGGCGAGAAAACTACACTTACGCAGCAGCATCACACACTGTATTCATAGCCATTCATTCATTATCTGTTATTACCAACATTTCCCCCCCCCCCTCCTCCCTCCACCCCTCCCCGTCGATCTTCCCTCTCCCCTCTAAGCAGAGATGTGTAAGTAGCATTTACTGACAGTCGTAGACAATTACCGCGGAGGGTTCAGAGTTGAGATAATTATTGAATATGAGTTCTGCATCAAATTGATTGATGAATGCACTCATTTTGCAAATCTTAGAAGCCACCCCGGCATTCGCGAGAATGCCCGACTAGTAGATACCCTAGTCATTAACCATTCCCAGAAAAACACTTGCCAAATATTAATTACCGATTTTCGAACGTGTTTCTCAACGAACTTAATCAAATATTTACAGGTCAATATTATATTAAGGTTCATATTCATGCCCGATTAGAGAGATATATATTTGAATTTGTGGTTTTATTTCTGCAGCAAATCGATGCTTTAATTGGCTTAACTATATTTTAAATCGGTTAAATAAGTAATAAAAACGGTTCAGAATAAATAATAACAACCAAAAAAACCGGCTCAGTTGAGTCTCATTTTAAGTACATTTTCAAACAAATTATATATTTATTTGAATATAGATAATTATATATATACCTATGCACTTAAAATTATTTAATGTATGTTTTTATTTCAATCAAATACTGTGCTTGCTTCAAATTTAGAACACTAATGTTCCTAATATTTTTTAAAAGTTTATTAGTTGATGACCTCTCTCTTTAAAATGTATATATACACATATATATTGGAGCATAAAAAATAACTTTTGACCTAGAGCCAGCTAAAAACCTATATAAGTATTTCTAATACACACACATTTTTTATTAAGTTTTTGTAAATCAAATTTTTAATTACTCGCAATATTTTAACAATTTTTTAAGTCTAAATCATTTAAAAAACCAAATTAATATTAAAAAACTATTTCTAGCGTAGAATAATAGTTATTGAGCATTACTTTTTTATTTAATATTTGTAGCTGCTTTGATTTATTTTAAAAAATAAGTAGCTGTTAATATTTAGTTGTTTAGATGAAAAAATATTTATAAAATAAATTTTGATTGCTAATAGTCAGCATTAAATAAAATAAAAATATATAAATAAAACTGAACCTATTTAAAAATGATTCTAAAAAGATTTCCATTTAGATTGAAGTCTTCTAATGACTTTTAATTTAAGAGATTAATTACTAGATAATATAAATGTCAGCACTGATATTATTCTTAAGCATTCGCTGTATTTGTCAAAAATAAGACAATAAATAAGCTAAACATTTTAGAGAAGCGATTACCGTCGCTTAAGCTATACACGATTTATACGAGAAATCAACTCACCAATGCCGTTATTTATATATAGATTTATTTGTGTTGAGTTCTCCTTGGGATCGTGAATCCTTTTGCGAGGGCAATTTTGTTTTTTTAGTGTTGTTTGACCTTTTGGTCGCTTTTTGTCACTTTCAGGTCAATTTGCACACACAAATTTTGAGGGGAACTTTTTGATTGGAAATACTTTTGAAACGCGAGCGATTTGAATTTTGTTTGCTGGGTATGTGTGTGTGTGTGTGTATTTTTGTGTGTGTAGATTTTTGTCGATTTAGAATTTGGATTTGCGTGAATGCGCCGTTATTTAGTTTAGGGATGATGCACAAAACACCGCCAACTGCAAAAACTGAAACGAAGCCAATCAAAATCAATGAGGGGGCCACAACAACAACAACCACAACAACAACAATAACAACGGTAATAAGAAAATAGCGACTAAAACAGACTAGCGAAAAAAAGAAACAAATAGGCTCAGTGCATTTTGTATGCACTGTGATTTTCAGTGTTGTTCTTGTTGTTGTTATTGTTGTTTGCTTTTTTCTTTGCGCTTTGTGTGATTTTCGCTTTTATTAATAAAATGCACAACTTCCGTTATTAATTTTGCAAACAGCGGCAATTGTAGTCAGAGTCTGTGTGTGTGCATTTGCATTTGCATGTGTGTGTGTGAGTAGAATAACAACAACAACAACAAGCGATGAGCGCGATGTGTCACCAAGGCGTTTGCATTGGGGAAATGTGACAATCGAATCGATGGCAATTCGAGAAAATCGCAAACAAAATGCAAACAGGGCTGAAGCGAGGGTTTGCCGGTTACTCAGCAAGGCGCGGGTGGCACTGCTGATGCGCTCCTGTGCACGCGACGCTGCCGTCGCTGCGACTGCGATTGCTGCTACTGCTGCTGCATTCATTCATAAAAATCAGGTTGTAAAAAGGCAAAAGCAACGCAGAGTTTTTTTTTCTTCTTTTATTTTTATTTTTTTTGTCTTTATTTATTTATGCCAATTTGCCGCTGCTGTTGTTTATTCTTTATTTTTTATTGTTGCTGCAGTTGTTGTTGTTTAGTGCCTAGCCACAGGAGGTAAATTGTCACTGATTTTTTGTCAGTTGTTATTGTTGTTTATTTTGATTATTGTTTTCGCTTGCATTAATTTGTAAATTGTAAATTGCATTTAAATTATCACTTGAACTCTCTTGATTATTATTAATATTTATGCAATTCATTGTATTTATTTTGCACTGCAGTTTTCGCATTTGTTTTCTTTTGTTGTTTATTATCGTTCGCGTATTTTTTAAGTTTAATTGAAATGAGATTATCCAATTGCAAGTTGGTTTAAGAAACCAAAACAAATCACAAAAATTCAGGCAAGATTTGCCGCACTTTTACCACGACACCTGCTGCCCGTCTGATTGCTGGAAATGTACTGAGAACACCCGCGTAATTTTTTTTTTACTTGCTCTTGCGTCGGTCTTGTTGGGACTTCGGCTTCGGCTTGTTGTAGGCACACGAGATGTTCGTAAGTGCCGAAGCGCCGCGTCTCAAACACACACATCAAACCGAAACTAGTTGCAACGGAACTTGTTTGGTTCGCCGCTGTTGATGTGTGTCTGACGGACAAATGTCAATCGAGGGGTTTCCAGCTAGTGCCAAATGGCTTAATTGATCAGCTTAAAGAAATATATTAAAAAAAATTATGACTATTCTAGGCATAGCTAACTAATGATTTGACAAATTAAATTAACTTATTGTGAATTTGATCTTTTTTGTAAGATGTACCAGGTAAATCTAGCAAAATAGTAATTTAGTTTTGCTTGGCTTTAAGCCAAGCAGCTACACACTATTTGCCATTTTTGGTAAGAAATCAAGATTGCGATTACAAGTTTTGGAGTCTTTCATTCAATTGGCTAAAAACCACAGACAGACTGTTAACGTGCTGTTAAACGCAGCTGCGACGCAACATCAAACATGTTCGATGCTCGACAATTGATGTAATTGGCCAATGGCTGATGTACCAAAATTTGTACATTAATTAAAGCCAACCGAAATCAGTTTTTGTATGTGTATTTAGCCAACTGCTTATGTATTAATTAATTAAGTGAATTGAGTAATTTTTTAAAATGTTTATTGACATTAACAGTATTCAAGGACCTTCTTTATATTTATGTGCACATTAATGTATGTATGTATTAATGTATATTTTATATACTAATAAGAAAATAAATAAAAATACCAAACAAAACAACGTCAACAAAATACTCAGAAATAGCTCAAGTATTTGAAAGAATTGATGATGGGTACTAATAAACGATAGAAATATTTATAAATAAAACAAGTGAGCAACATGCAGATGCCGATGTATGTACGATCTATGTATGTATGTATGTATGTACATATATATGTATGTATCATTAAGGTGTTTTATGGCACACACGCAAATCTTATTAAAATAAACAACAAATAAAAACAACAAAAAATGACAAAAGACAAATAATTTTTTGGCTAAATAAAAAATTGCAATTGTAAAACCGCAAAACGATTTTTTTGCATTATTTTTTATTATTATTATTTTATTGTCATGAGAAGTGAAGGTTAACTTTTGATAAAATGCTAATTGAATCATAATAATTAAATAGATAATAGCTTATTTAATGTTTGTATTTTTTGATAAATATTAATTAACAATCTTCGGTTAATAAACAATAAATTCCATTAAAATGACGTACTTCAACTTGGGAATATATGAAATAATTTGGACTGCAAAGTTGTGGTAAGAAGCAAGTACAAAATATCAACAAGTGAGGGCAGTGCAGGCGGGAATTGCCGACTGCGGCATACTCTGTTGCAGGTGTAATCGCTGCTGATAAATAAATATTTATTTTTACCAATCTTCGAGGAGGATTATTAAATGTTTAACTTAAAAATTTGATAAAAATTGTGAGAGGTAAACTTTTAAGGGATTTTTAGCAGCGATTATTATTATATATCTACCTATATTTGATAAATTTATCTCCCAAATTGTGACAGACTAGAATAGCATAGATTAGCAACATGACTTCCAGTAATTATTAGGCTATATCCAATCCTAATAATTACTGGATTTTTGGATTGGATTTTTATGGGCCACACATTTTTTGTTCAAGCTTTGAAGACGGTTATCAAAAATATACCTTCCAATTTGTTTGACCTGAAATATTATTTATAATAAATATAAAAATAATAATTATAATAATTCTATTGACAAGCATTTATATAGTTTCCAAAACGATCTATTCTATGCTGTATTTCTTCTACCTTAAAAACTGAGGAAGATATGGGATTATCGATATTTAGGGAGAAGATGTTAAGGAATTGGCTTGCATGTGTAAAGTTGAAGGAGATCATCCTTGAAGGATGTCATCAGCAAGGCATTCCCCAGTTTTGGTGACTCTGTGCTTCAGATTGTGGGATTTATGTGGTATCGATTTGCATATATCGATGTTATCGATCTTAGCCAGAGGTGGACACATTAGAATAAATATACCAAATATAAAGGCTCTACTTTTAAACAGACAAACGGATAGATGGAAGGACAGAGGGGCGGACAGGCAAACGGATGCATATCGCTTGACACTTATCGATGTTATCGATTACACAGTTTCCCAGCAGGATTATCGCTTCAATATGAACACTTTATCTGAGGCGCAAGTGGAAAATAATTATTCATAGTTGGAAGGCATGCGGACGGACAGACGAACGGATCGACTTGACACTTATCGATGTTATCGATTACATAGTCTTCCTAAAGGAGTAGCGCCTGAATATTAACACTTTGACTGAGGCGAAAATGGATAATAAATATTCATAGTTGGAAGGCAGGCGGACAGCCAGACGAACGAATGGATATCGATTTGCATTTATCGATATTATCGATTATATAGTAGTAGCACCTCAATTTAAACACTTTACCTGAGGCGGACATGCAAAGTATTTATTGTAAGTTTTCAGACAGACGGCAGACAGACAAGTAGACCACATTAGGAACATGCCACAAAATCCAATATACCCTGCAAAATCCACTCTGACAAAGTATGAAAATCAGTGTACAAAAATCAACTTGAGCCTCCCACGATTCTAAGTGATACGTTTTTTCTTGCCTCGACAATTCGAATTGAGTATTAACAAAAAGAAACAGACACAAATAATTTTTCTCGTTTTTTGTTGTTTTTGTTTTTCATTTTGTATGCTATAAAAATATAAAAAGCAAGAGAAGCAAATAAAAGGCGAACACACGAATATTTTAATTAGAGTATAGATAAAAAATTACAACAACAACAACAACAACAGCAACAACAATGAGAAAGACAAACGCAAGGCAACAACAAATATGAACAATAATTATAACCAAAATAACAACAACAACAACAACACTTTTAGATAGATGCCCATTTCATATAAATTTCGAGCTTTCCACAATATTTATAAAAATAAAATCACACTCACACACACTCACACACACACACACACGCAGAGCAGCACAATTTTGAAAATTGTGGCAATAGTTGGGGCATTGAATGTGAAGAGGTGTGCAGTGGCAGTGGCAGTGGCAGGGGGAGGGGCGCAGACGCAGGCGAGCTGGTTTGGGCTGATAAAAATAAAATTCCAAATGTCGCCGGCATCAATAAGATATAAATTAAACGTGTACTCGACAACAATCCCAAATGTTAATTAGAGACTCACGTTGCAAGCATCCCAAACACACACCCCTCCCCCTGCCCACACATTCGTAAATCTTCCTGCTGCCCCCTGCCCCCCTCTCCACCCCACTCCACCCCTGCTGCTCAGCTTATGCTCGACTGGCTGCGTTTGACATGCTGTCGTGTATCTATTAGATACATTAGCCGCTCCATGCGATCGGACTGGGAGGAGACAGACCTGGTACACTACTCCCTAACAAACAACCACCCCAACCCTCACCCCCTCCCCCTACCACCCACTCCTTCAGCTTAAAATCTGTTGTTTTTGTTGCGAGTGTAAATTTTAGTTTGTTTCCCTGTCAACTTGTAGCTTTTTGGGGGGGGGGGTGGGGACCAGCTCCCCAGTTCGGTAAACTTTATTTATGCCACCTCATGAGCTTAATGACTTCCTGCAGCAGCAAAAATAGCCAAAAAAAACACAATTCGATTCCAAAGTAGAACAATTATTGTCGGCAAACGTCTCAAATATTTTCAATGATCTACAACAAAAGTTGAAGTTTTCAAACACAACACAAACTACAAGTTCAGTTTTCATCTAGAAAAAAAATTATAAATATGCCCACTAAAACAGCAGAGACTATATTTAAATATATATAATTATATATAGATATATATATATAGATATATATTTACAATCAAATATTTAAAATCCTTAGAAATTCGCTTTTGGAGAAACTCAATTTTGCTAATTTTCTTTTGGCGCTTATGTAAAGCTGTGATGTACAATATATATATATATATTATATATTTTTATAAATATATATATTTTTATATTTAAAATCAAAAGTTCATATTAAGTGCATTAACTTTATTGTATATTTAATAAAAAAAAAAACCCTAAACTAGTTTTTCATATTCGAAACATTTGAAAAAGTGTGTAAATTATATTAAAAAAAATTAATTAATTAATTTAAAAAATATATTTTTAGGTATTAGTTTATATTATTATTATATTATTATTTTGATATATTAAAATTAATCATAGCGCATTTTGTAATGTTCACATTTTGATATATAAAAATTAACTATTTAAAAAAAATAAATGCCAACATTTTGATAAATTACAATAAGGCATTTTTATATATATTGAATGGGAACTATTGAAAATCTCCAATATTAGTATTCATTTATTTCATTTCATTGAAAACTGAATAATTTAAATATTTGTTATATATCAAAGTTGACCGTTGACAAATGTAAATATTTTGATATATCAAGATTAACTATTTAAAAATGATTAATGCCTGTTTTTGTATTTATGAAAATTAACATATTAAAATTAAGCACTATAAAATCTTGAAATCCAATATTTTGATATATTAAAGTTGACCATTGAATAATGAATAATGTTAAGTGTAACTAGGGAAATATATGATTTGGTGTTTTAGGGGGCAAGAGTGGGTGTGGACATATATTTTGTTTACCAATCTTTGAAGGCGATTACCAACAAAATAATTTGTATATTTTATTTCAATAAAATGTGGAAGATTCACAGTTTTTCGAGTTTTAAAGATATATTTGTTTTTTATTAGCTAGCTTAAAAATTGTGTTGGTTATGTGGCCTTATCGAATTGCACTTATCGTTTCTCGATATCGATTTACAAGCACACCAATGGAAGAATATATGTATATGATATATGCCCAGCAACTATATAAGCAAATATTT